CTTCCCGACTTGGTTCCAGTGATAAACAATCCATAAATATTTAATAAGCACTTCCTTTGTTGTGGTCGTTTTGTTTGTTTTTGGTTAGGCAATGGGGTTAAGTGACTTGCCCAGGGTCACACAGCTAGTAAGTGTTATGTGTCTGAGGACAGATTTGAACTCAGGTCCTTCTGACTCCAGGGCCAGTGCTGTATCCACTGCGACACCTAGCTGCCCCTAGCACTTCCTTTGCTGCAGACAGTGTGCTAAGTACCAAGGATACAAAGAAAGGCAAAAATATGGCTCTTGACCTAAAGAGGTCACATTCCAATAGGAAGACACTTGCAATAACTGTATATACTAGATACGTACAATACAATTGTAAAGTAATCTCAGAGGGAAGGCACTAGCAACGGTGGGTGACAGAGAAGAGAAAAAAAACCCCTTGCAAAAAAAAACCAGGATTTGAACTGAGTCCTGTAGGAAGTTAGGGATGGATGGCAGTAGGCAGAAGTGAAGAGGAAGAATATTGCAGGCATGGAGCACAGCAAATGCAAAGGCAACAAGGTTAGGAGGAGGAGTGTCACTTGTGAAGATCAACAAGAAGTCCAGGTGATTGGATCGTTGAGCGTACAGAGGGAGCAGAGGGCAGGAAGACTGGAAAAGGGTGGTGAAGGGCTTTAAATGCCAGGCGAGTGCTTTTATTTGATCCTGGAGGTGAAGAGCCAGCCACTAGCGTTTAGGAAGAAGGGAAGTGATGTGGTCAAACCTGCACTGTGGGAAAATCCCATTGGCAGCTGCTGCACTGGAACAGAGACTTGAGGCCAAGCGAAACGTCGAATCCTCCCTTCTTCCTAACTTCCCTCCTAGTCTTGGGGATACCCTAGATACCCAGGCTTACAACCTAGGTGTCATCCTCCACTCCTCACTTTCTCTCACCCCACATATTCACTCTGTGGCCAAGGCCTGTCAATTTTACTCTTGTAGAAGTCTGTCATATATATACCCCCCTTCTTGCCTCTCACACTGCCATCCTCCCGGTGCATGATCCCATCACTCCACACCTAGGCCACTGCAGTAGTCTGTCTCCCTGCTGGTTGGTCTCCCTACAACAAGTCTCTCTGCTAAGTCCAGTCCATTGTCCATTCAATCGTCAAAGTAATCTTTCTGAAGTGCCAGGTTGATTATGTCACCCCACATCCATCCCTGTTCCTCCCTGCCCCCCACTTAATAAGCTGCTTATCACCTCCAGGACTCAATATAAAATCCTTTGTTTGACATTCAAATTCCTTCATAACCACGACCCCTCTCTACTTTTACCAGTCTTCTCACACCTCACTTCCAGCCCCATTACTCTGATCCAGTGGTACTGGCCTCTTTGCTGTGCCTTACATAAGACATTCCATCTCTCAGTGCTTGGCACCTTCACTGGCTGACCCCTCATGCCTAGAATGCTTTCCTGCCTCATCTACACTCCATGACTTCCTTTAAGTGAATATAAAATCTCATCTTCTACAGGAAGCCTTCCCCATTCCCCCTCTACCAGTTCTAGTACCTTCACTCTGTTGATTATTTCCCATGAATGCTGCATACAGCTTGTTTGCACAATTTGTTTGCTTGTTATACTTTGAGAACTCCCTGAGAGCAAGGACTGTCTTTTGCCTTTCTTTATATCAAACCTGATGCTTAGCAAAGGGCCTGGTCCATAAGGACTTAATAAATGTTTATTGACTAGAGAGCTGCACTAGATAACTTCTAATCTACCTTCTAGCTCTAAATCTATGATTCTGTAATCATGCCTTTGTACCAGCTAGTCTCCATGCTAGGGATGCACTTAGAATCTTAGAATCCCTAATCTCTTTCAAGGTTCATCCTCTACAGGACAATTATCCTGAATTCCTCTGATCACCCCTTACTACTCCCTTCCCCCTCCCCAAATGACTTAGGGTTGATTTTGTATAGGGATAGGGATTGGTCCCATGCTTTCACTGGTGTAAAGACGAGGAAAATATTTCTAGGATGAGGAAAATCCCTCTACCAATGTAAGTTGGCGCTTTCACCAGAGCACTGAAAGCCTAAAGGACTTGCCCAAGGTCACCTGGGCATGATAAGATAACAGACAGACTTGAACACAGGTCTTTTTGGCTCCAAGACTGGTTCTCTATTCATTACATAGCATTCCAGGCACTGTGCTAGCTGTGCTAGCTACTGAGAATACAAACAAAAATGAAACAACTTACATCCCACTGGGGTGCAGGGAAGGAGAGGGGAGGCAAATAATACCAAAAAAAATTACAAAGTGAATGCAAAGTAATTCAGAGGTGAAGGGAAGAGACTAGCAACTGGGGGGGGGCATTAGAACAGGCCTATGTAGGAGGTGACATGAGCTACATCTTGAAGGAAGCTATGGCTTCTAAGAAGCTGAGAACGAAGCACATTCTAGGCACGGGGAATAGCCTATAAAAAGGCATGGTATTTTTGTTCAGTTGTTTTCAGTCGTGTCTGACTCTCCACCACCCCACTTGGAGTTTTCTTGGTAGAGATACTGAAGTGGTTTGCCATTTGCTTCTCCAGCTCATACGAAGAGATATGGAAACTGAGGCAGAGTTAAGTGACTTGCCCAGGGTCACACAGCTAGTAAGTGTCAGGCACTCTATCCACTGTACCGCCTAGCTGCCCTAGACAAAAGCATGTTTGTAGGCAGTAGGATGTGGGCCAGCAGGGAGGGAGAGGTTGGCAATAAGTGAGAGTAGGGATGACAGAAGAGGCAATCTGTTGGGGGGAGACAGGATGGAATGGAATCACCTGGATGAGAAGAAGGGCTAGCCTTGATGGAGAGTGAGGCCACTTCATCATATGAGACAGAGGAAAGAGGAGAGTGGCAGAATACACCTGAGTGATGGAGGATAGGGAAGAGGGGAGGGGAGGGAGCCCACAGCAAATTGCCTCGATGCTTTCCTGTAAAATATAAGGCAGAGTGTTCAGCTGAGAGTCAGGGGGGGTTGTGGGAAGCCATGGGAGGTCTGAGGAGGGATGAGAAGGTTTGGAAGAGTCGCTGTGGAGAGTGGGATTGTGAGCTGTTTAGGGAGATGGATTGCCTAGAAGCAATGAGGGCCCAGTTGAGGTTCTGTAACATAAATTTGTAATAGACCCAGTCAGAAAGGTTCTGTGACTTTCTCTACCTTCATTCAATATCACCTGTACCAGACTGAAGGCAATGAATGGTAGGACACATCCAAAATTCCCCACAAGAAAGAAATAATAGCTCTATAACAAATAGCAAATATTTGTATTTATATATTAATATGATAATTGCAAAAATTTCAAGGAAAAAATGGACTTCCCACCAGAGGATCAGTCAAGAAGGACTATGTGGATACTTAGAAGAAATAAAGCAAGAGAGAAAAATGGAATACAAGGTCTGAGAACCTTCTGCAATTCTCCATTCCTTCAGGGCCTTTCTTATTCTCCATCATCTGTCAAAGACCATCTGCTGGGGTTCAGCAAATCCATTCCTTCAGTCCTCTGAGAAATAGGCCCCACCACCACTCGCCCCCTCCCAGGCCTAGTGACTCAAACTTTAAACTCACCAAGGGCAGCTAGATCCTGTTTGAGTATTCTCTCACTTCTCTTGAGTTTCCACATCTTGTTAATTAACAATTTTGTGTGTTTTTGTCTGGCTCTCCCACTCCAAAGACAAATTCCTTTCACAAAAAATTAAAATATAAAATAAAATTAAGACAGAATAGTGTAGATTCCCCACCACTGTCCATTATCGTGATCCCTCCCGTCCTAAACATCAGTCCTCTCCATCTTTCGATCATTCTCTTTCCCTGATACAGCTCAAACAAAATAATGATTCAGGTCTCTCAGTCTGTGTTAGGTTCAGTCACTTCTTCCTTTCCAGACTTGCTTCTAGAAGTCTTTCCCAAAGCAGTCTCAGGTCATTTGAATAAATAGATTCAAGTCCCCCGGAAAACTGGGGACAGAAAGCTGGGAGGAGTGGGGCTATTCCTCTGAATTCCAAGATGGAGACAACATTTTGGTGACTTGTCCAAGACAGCGTAGTCCAATGGAAAGAGTAAGGGAATGGATAGAGAAAGAAGGAAGGTGAAGAGAAGAAAAAAAGAAAAGAGTTATGTCTGAATAATATATTGTCCTTTGCCTTTGGAAGGTTTCTCCAACTTCCCGATGTCAGGGGCCCCACCCCAAGACCAGTCCTCTCTTTTTACTATTAGGAAACACCCTATTTTCCAGAGCTAAGGCCCAGCAAGCCAGCTGTGCCCTGAGCTTGGCATAACGACAGTTCTTTGTGCTCACCCTCTGCATGAACTCTGCTGCAGATAAATCACGGAACTGGCAGTCCCTGAGCTTGGGCGAGCACCAGCAGGCCTGGTCATGATGCCCTGCTATGAATGGACTGTGCATCACTAAGGCAACCTTCCCTCCCTGCTGTAATGCCTCACCGCAGTCACACCTCCCTGCTTGATTCTTTGTCTGGCCACTATTATATGTTATCAAGGCTGCCTGGAGTTCCTGGCACATGCGTCTAGTTTCCTTCCTCCAACATAATAAAGAAAGCTTTTTGCTTATAAGCTCTGGGAGCAAATGGGTATTTTACTTTATTTTGTTTTATTTTATTTTGTTTTTCAGAGTTGACAGTTGGTATAAAGCTTTTTGCTCTAACCTCTGTGTCTCTTTGGCCATTTATTTTTCAGAGCTGACAGTTGTATAACCTCTGTTAGCTTTTTGGTATTTTCAGAGTTAATACCTGTTTAAAATAAGGGCAGAGTCAGAGCTCCCTCTTAAAGTGACCTCACATCTATCCTTGGGCATGAAGTGACTGACCGAGTGCAAAATGTCTGAAAGTCTTTGTTGGGGTGTGGGAAAATGAGGGAGAAGGCCCACAAAGTAAGTAAAGTCATACCCAGTCTTACCGTGAGTCCCCCAAGTATGTCATCTAAAAAAAGTCCAACATTTCTGCTTTTAATCACAGCAGAGACCAGCTGCTCAGCCAGACTAGGGGAGGTTTTTGTTCAGGGCTGGAGCACTGTGAGAGCAGAGACTCTTGACTGCTGACAATAGTAGACTGCAGCATCCTCGGGCTCCACACTACTGATTGTGAGGGAGAAATCTGTCCCGGACCCGCTGCCCCTGAAGCGGGCAGGCACTCCAGCCATGAGGTTGGAAGCATAGTTGATGAGAAGCCTAGGAGCCTGCGAAGCTTTCTGTTGGTACCAGTTTAAATAATTGGCTTGAGATTCTACAAGACTTTGACTGGCCTTGCAAGTGATGGAGATTCTCTCTCCTGGAGATACAACCAGAGAGGCAGGGGACTGGGTCAGCACAATCTGACTGATGGCATCTGAAATTAGAAATACCAGACAGATGAGGAGAGTGGACCAGAGGACCACTAAGCTCCCTTTTACCTCCAACTTAGATGATCCTACAGGTGGTAAATATAAATGTAGATAACAGCCAAGAAAAACCCTTATTATGCCATCATGAAGCACATTCAGGAACCAGATCAACAATGAGATTGTCTCTATGTCCCTCAGAATCTTTTACACACACACACACACACACACACACACACACACACACTCTAAATTCCTCCCATGGGAACAACAGATTCGGGAGCTCCACGTGATCAGAGGACAGGCATCAGGGCTTTTCCTACTCTTTCTCCCTAACCTGGAATCCACAGCATGAGGAAGCAGAGCAGTTGAGCCAGAGACCCCATTTCCATGTGCCTGAGTTCTGTGCTCTACAGAAGTCTCCCCCAGCAGTTATCTGTTTATAACTGCTGTCATCAGCTGGCCTAGTGACCTGGGGATCAGCCATGCAAAGCAGTCTAGGGAGGGTTGGAGGTTTGTGCTCAAAGAACACACTCCAGTGATCTTGCTTACCGGGTTGCTCAAAGTACTGGTATATGCTGAGTAGCCCAAACCCTGAGTGTTGCTAATGCCTAAGGCCTCTGGCCCTTCATATTCTATGAGCCCTGAAAAACTTTTTGTAAAAGGGAGCTTTGACATAGAGCTAGACTAATATTGCAATAATTCAAGCATTTGCCTACTGACTTATCTGAATCTTTCTGGGAGACTCACTCACTGTATTACCAGTCCTGTCAGGAATGGCAGTGCCCAACATGTGGGGAATGCCCCACATTCCAGTCCAAAACTTGGCCCTGCAAGCATTGGCTTTTGTGCTTTGTAGTTGAGTTAGGAAGTTCGAATGCAATGAAAAGCTTTTGACATGAGCCTTTTTCCTTTGAAAGGAAGCTTTGAGGAGGAGTGGAACTTTATAAGTCACTGGCTGCCATCTACTAATAATGAAAACCTACTGACCCCATTCAGAAGGGAGCAGAGCTGTGTGAGACCTGGAAGTTAATCAGGATCCCAGACTAGAGAAGCTCCAAGAAAGAAAGTATCTTCTGGACCAAACAAGAAAATGTCAAGATGATTTTTGCATTGGATCCAGAGAGAAGTTTTAAGGAAAACCCCACCCTACGAAACAAAACTTAAGAGGACCCTAGTTTGCAGTATTTCGAGCATGTCCCACCCTCCACCGTAACAATCAGAGTGAAAGGTTATTTTCTAGTATATTTCAATAGGCTATTCCTTTAGATCTGGCTTGGTAAGATGTGATTGATCCAGTCATGTTGTTGACCCCACTCCTGACATACTCTACTTATTATTCATTTGTATGTTATGTTAAATGGAAAAGGGAGATGTGTTGGACTGGGATTTCTGTGTTATAGGGAAATCCTAGATGAGAAGACTCACTCTACCGATTCAGATCGGCATCTTCTCTGCAACTTACAGTCTTGTCTATTCACTGACAGATTAAGGACTTGCCCAGCATCACACAGTTAGCATATGCCAAAGGCTTTGAGGCCTGACCTCTATTTAATATGTCACAATGCCTTTCTGTAAAAGAAAATATACGTCATCTAGCCCAAATTCCTTATTCTACTAATGAGGAAATTGAGGCTAAAAGCAATAAAGTAAGTGGCCAAGATCATCTGACTGACCCCATAGCACCTACAGTAAGCCTGAGAATATAATCAATATTAAATATATATTTGTTGATTGATTCATGGACGGAGAATTTCAGCTTCATATCTCCAAAAAATAAATGTCTTGTATACTATTTTCCTCAGAGGTCTGGTTTACCAGCATGCTCCTGCATGAAAATTTAAAAAAAGAAAGGAAGGAAGGAAGGAAGAAGGAAGGAAGGAAGGAAGGAAGGAAGGAAGGAAAAAAGGAAGGAAGGAAGAAAGAAGGAAGGAAGGAAGAAAAAAAAGAAAGAGAAAGTAAGAAAGAAAGAAGAGAAAGAAAGAGAAAGAAAAGAAGAAAGGAAGGAAGGAAGGAAGGAAGAAAGGAAGAAGAGAGGAAGGAAGCTTAAATAGACTAATACAGAGACACAGAAATCATGGACAAATTTAAATTTTAAAAAGACAGGATGAAAACAAAGCCAGGTAACCAGAGACCAATATATAAAAAGGCAATGAAACTGGAAGGATACTGGCAAAGACCGAAAGGTCAGAAGGAGTTGTTAACACTGAAAATACCAAAGAGCTCACAACGGTCAGCTCTGAAAAGTAAATGACCAAATAGCCACAGAGGTCATAGGCAAAAAGCCTTCTTTATTCTGTTGGAATAGGGAACCTAGACATGGTCTCTAGGCAGCCTTGATAACATGTAATTGTGTCTAGACAAAGAATCAAGCAGGGAGGTGTAACAGCAGTGAGGCCTCATAGCAACAGTGAGGCAAGGTTGCCTAGTGACACCCAGTCCATTCATAAAGGGCTTCATGACCAGGCCTGCTGGTGCTTGCCCAAACTCAGAGACTGTCAGTTCCATGGCTTAGCTGCAGCAGAGTTCATCCAGAGGGTGAGCACAAAAGACTGTTGTGGCACAGCTTGCTTGCTGGACCTTGGCTCTGGAACACCAGATGTCTCCTAATAACAAGGAAAGAGAGGAGTGAAAAGAGAGAGTGGTCTTGGGGTGGGGAACCTTACAGACCTAAAATTGCTGATGAATTCCAGAAACAATAAGCTGAATCATAAAGGTGGGGTTCTATACACACACACACACACACACACGCATGCACACACACACGCACACCATTGACTAATTACAAAATGGTGTTGTGTATGAGTGTTCACAATGAAGACATTCTATACATTTAAACAAGATGGTTCATACCCTGTTGGCTCTTCTGATGTCCTCTTCAATTGAATCTAGGAGGAGATAGCTGATTGCCTGCCCAAAAAGCTACCTATGAAATGGTGGGGAGATTTCTGCAGTTGACTCAGTGGCAGCAGAGGATTCCAGGTTCAGGCATGCATTGGAGGGACAGACTCTTGTGCCTGTACCTAAGAAGGGCAGGACAGGGAGAAGTGAGAGTTACGCGCCCCTCTTCACAGACCATGTTATTCGAAAGACTTGACTAGAAGGAGATGTTGTATTCTGCCGGGAGTGCCTGCGTCCCCGGCTGTGCTCTGATGCCGGCAGAGTGTGAAGAGAGAAAGAACCACGGGCCAGGTGAGAGCAGCGAAGAACAAACTCTGTTTATTGATCTGAGGGCTCAGGCTTACATAGTACTGGATCAAGCAACAGTAACATTGTTATTCATGAAAAGGACAAACCTAATTAGGTGATTTCCTTCCTTGTACCTTGTCTGTTACATTCTTTCTGCGTCCTGTCCTGTATCCCATCCCTTTCCTCCCTTCCTGCATCCTGTTCTCAAGAGACGGAACAGGGGGGTGGTGAGCCAGCTGTCAGGCTTAGTACAAGCTACAGGTAAGACCCAGGCTGGCCTAAGCCCTCCAACTCCCCAAAGCCGGCCCTCTACAGTATTCATATGGAAGCAGAAAAATACCCACAGACAAATGTAGAGACTTTTTTTACATTTAACGCTACTTGTTCTGCTTGGTTTTAGTGCCATCGTCATTTACATTTTGCCTCACTCAGAAAAAACTCATTACCACAAAAACTCATCATCAGGAAACCCATCATCATAAACATTACTTCAGTTTTGCTACTAACTCCTCAGAAGCTAGGTGGTACAGTGGATAGAGAGTTGGGCCTGGAGTCAGGAAGACCTGAGTTCAAATCTAGTCATAGACACATACTAGCTGTGTGACCCTTAGCAAGTCACTTAACCCTGTTTGCCTCAGTTTCCTCATCTGTAAAATGAACTATTAAAAACCACTCCAGGATCTGTGAGAAAACTCTAAATGGGGTCACAAAGAGTCAGACACAACATAACAACTACAACTTCATCAGTACCCACAGTTGTTTATGCATCTGTGACTGGAGGGGAATTGCCTCCCTTTACACAGGGTTCAAAATACCATCCATCTCTTTATCTGCCACCTTGCACCCTCTAGCACCTCCCCTACATACCTTTTCAGCTTCCTTTCATTTTTTTTATTTTTAATATATATTTTTATTTCCCCCAATTACTTATTAAAATTTTTTTTTAATATTTGTTTTATGAAAGTTTTAAGTTCCAAATTCTACCCCTTCCTCTCTCCTTCCCTCCCCTCTCCTTTCCCTGAGATGTAAGCACTCAGATATAGGTTGTCCATATGAGTCATTTTGTACAAGAAGACTCAAATAGAAGAAAAAGAATGAAAGGAAGTGGGAATGCATGCTTCAGTCTGTCTTTAAGCACTATCAGCTCTTTCTCTGGAGGCTTCCTTGTTAGTTCTTTGGGATTGTCTTGGATCATTGCATTGCTGAGGATATCAGCTTCCTTTTATGTATTATCTTCCCCCATCAGATTGTACACGTCTTGAAGGCAGAGACTAGCTCTCTTTTTTTTTTCTTTTTGGTGAGGCAAGCGGGGTTAAGTGACTTGCTCAGGATCACACAGCTAGTGTCAAGTGTCTGAGGCTGGATTTGAATTCAGGTCTTCCTGACTCCAAGGCCGGAGCTGTATCCACTGTGCCACCTAGTTGCCCCCAGAGACTATCTCTTTTTCTTATTTGCATCCCCAGTGCATAACACCATTCCTGGCACATAGTAGGTGCTTAATAAATGTTTATTTTGTGTAGAAAGATAATTGCCCAAGGAAAGAAGCAGCTACCAATTCAGATAACTATTTTCTCTTTAACTTACAGACTTTGGGAGCAGCATGCCTTGGTCACTGAGAAGTTAAGTGACTTATCTAAGGTTACACAGTCAGTATGTCTGAGGTTAAACTTAAACCTAGATCTTCCTGCCTCCAAGGTCAGCTCTCTATCCACTAGATACCATCTAGACCAGGGGTGGGGAACCTGTGGCCTTAAGGCCACATGTGATCTTCTAGGTCCTTAAGGACAGCCTTTTGACTGAATCTGTACAGAACAAGATTTGTTCTGTGAAACATGGATTCAGTCAAAAGGCTACACTTAAGGATCTAGAAGGCCACAGGTTACCCACCTGTGATCTAGACTCTTCATATGTACTTCCTGTCACAGGTGATTAAACCATCTGGGAGAAGTCTTTTGATTCAGCTACAATTAGATTCCTGTTTATTCCAATTCCTTAAGGGTAGGATGGATTATTTTTTGTCTTTTTATCCATCATCATTAGACTAATGCCCAGAACATAACAGGTATTTAAAAATGCTCATTGATCATCAATTGATGGATTGATTGATTTAGTGTCAACATTGTCAGTAAATATTTCCTACTATGTGGCAAGTCCTTTTTTAAACTGGGGATACAAAAAAGGCAAAACACAGTCCCCAAGATCACAATCTAATCACACGCAAACAACTACAAGCAAA